GATTAGGTATGTGTGACGTAGGCTGTGTGATTAGGTATGTGTGACGTAGGCTGTGTGATTAGGTATGTGTGACGTAGGCTGTGTGATTAGGTATGTGTGACGTAGGCTGTGTGATTAGTTATGTGTGACGTAGGCTGTGTGATTAGGTATGTGTGACGTAGGCTGTGTGATTAGGTATGTGTGACGTAGGCTGTGTGATTAGGTATGTGTGACGTAGGCTGTGTGATTAGTTATGTGTGACGTAGGCTGTGTGATTAGGTATGTGTTACGTAGGCTGTGTGATTAGGTATGTGTGACGTAGGCTGTGTGATTAGGTATGTGTGACGTAGGCTGTGTGATTAGGTATGTGTGACGTAGGCTGTGTGATTAGGTATGTGTGACGTAGGCTGTGTGATTAGTTATGTGTGACGTAGGCTGTGTGATTAGTTATGTGTGACGTAGGCTGTGTGATTAGGTATGTGTGACGTAAGCTGTGTGATTAGTTATGTGTGACGTAGGCTGTGTGATTAGGTATGTGTGACGTAGGCTGTGTGATTAGGTATGTGTGACGTAGACTGTGTGATTAGGTATGTGTGACGTAGGTTGTGTGATTAGGTATGTGTGACGTAGACTATGACGTCAACGTTCTTTTGTCTTTTCTTTTCAAAATTTGCTGTGTTTGAATGTTTGAAAAGATCCACTGAAAAAACTGGAACCAACCAGAAATATGATCTTTTATTAGCCACGCAGGAGTTTAACTTTGTTGTGATCGCTGATGAAGGTCAAAATTCTTTTTTAAAACTTTCTGTATAATTTTATACATGCATAATTTATGACTGTCACAATGAAGATAGTCGTTTAATGGTGAACCAATGAAGATAGTCGTTTAATGGTGAACCTTTTCAATAATATGAATGTCATATTTTTGTCCAGATTGTTTCAAAACATTCTTCTATTCAATGTTGTGTTTCTTTCGGGACTCTTTCTGAAGAACGGTAGTTCCCCGCCCCAGTTCCCCATCCCGCACGAAGTAGAAAAAAAATTTAAATAGAAATACATACTTAAATCAGTGTCAGTTCTTACTTGCCGAAAGTTTACAAGTGCCCCCAACCCTTTTCTTCCACCCCACCCCCTTCGAGTGTCTGAAAGAAACTCTGCTTCTAACCGACCAGGGACAGACAGACAAGTGTCTGAAAGAAACTCTGCTTCTAACCGACCAGGGACAGACAAGTGTCTGAAAGAAACTCTGCTTCTAACCGACCAGGGACAGAGAGACAAGTGTCTGAAAGAAACTCTGCTTCTAACCGACCAGGGACAGTTTTCATAGACACGAAACACGGATTAGCATTAAGCTCGTGCTAATATTTCCGTCTGACGGTGCTTCGGTGGTCACCCACACAGTCACCCCCACCCCTGGTATTATAGTATGTAGCCTCCCCCCCTCCCCCATGTGAACGGAAATAAACCGGGAGTGATCTCCCCTAAACTTTCTCGAATATTCTAATATAAAATTACGAGGGATGGCATCTCAGGACATAGACAATATTCTTCTCCATTTTTAATTACTTAAACCTTTTATAATAGAATAGAATCTCGGAAAAAAAAAAGAATTGCACACCAAGTGAAAAGTTTCCCTTTCAAACCTGACGGTCTATGGGGCAAGTGAAGTAGAGTTCACTTGTTTCTGTGACCTCGGCATAGGAAGAGATAGTGTGGTCAGCACTATGCCCAGCCGCCTTTACTTTCCCTAACAGGAGTTAGGTACCCATCAGAGTTGGGTGAACTCAGGGACGGTCTACTGACTTGAAATCGGATTCGAACTCGAGACTAACGGGTTAGCAGTCCGGGCTCTCTACCGCTAGACCACTCCGTATAAAATAACTTGAGTACCGTTACAGCTAGGTTGATGATATTTCATACATAAGTATTTTATCAAAATCGTAGATACTGATCAACTTTTGAGCGATCTCCGATAACCGGAAGTGGTACTTTTTCTACTTTGAATTTTTCAAAAGCCTATAACTTGAGTACTATTTCAGATAGATAAATGAAATTTCACATGTAAGTAAAAAATCTAATTCTCTACCTTTTGTCAAATTTTGAGTAATTTCCGTTGACCGGAAGTACTAATTTACGCTATTTTCGATTTCTCAAAAAACGCATGTAAATTTATAAAGTACTAATAATATTGCGCACTATTATGCACATTTTGTTTTGGCGTTCGCTTGGTGTGCAATTCTTTTTTTCTATGAGATTCTATTCTATTTTAAAAAGTAATAATTAAAAATCATGTCTATATTTCAAGTTATATAGGAATATTCGAGAAAGTTTAGGGGAGATCACTCCCGGTTTATTTTCCCCTGTGACTTTTTTTCCTACAATCAAATAAAAGACGTGTGCCCTTCTGGGGGGAGAAAATCGGTGTTTGTTTTATTAAATTAACATACTCAGTACATTTGTATCCAAAGCAGTTTGTTCTGTTTTAAGACGAGATTGTTGACTTAGAATTAAAAGATTTGCGTTGTAATGTTCTAAAGGATGTTTTTCATTGTTGATGTATTAACTTAGTTAAAACTTTATTTAAACAAACATCCATGAGTTTGTCGATTGGAGTCAAATATTGCATGCGCACCCTTTGGCACTTTTTGGCGCAGCAATTGTGGTCGCACCAAGCTCAAATGTCAGCTAGACAAACACCAGGAAATATGCTATAAAACTAGCGGTGGTAGATCTATCCTCTTTACAGTAAGTGGATTTATATGTTTACAGTTGGTAGGCTTTATACATCTTTACAGTAAGTGGCTTTAACGCCTTCTTTAATTTTAAGAAAAACTGCAGTATTTAAATGTATGAAACAGCACACATTACCTGTCTCTAATTCTGATCTCTCCGTGCTGTCGGACAGCAGACAGCAGACAGCAGCTAGGATGAATCCCCAACAGCCGTGTTTCGAGAACTCGACCAGGTCGGCTCCACACTGGCGCTCAAGTTTCCGTTCTGGCTGCCTGAACAAGAGTCTCAACACCAAGTCTCACATCTACAGCCACCTGGGCGCCTTGTCATGTCGCGGGGTGAGTTACATCTGTCAGGTGAGTTACACCTACAGCCACCTGTCAGGTGAGTTACAGCCACCTGTCAGGTGAGTTACAGCCACCTGTCAGGTGAGTTACAGCCACCTGTCAGGTGAGTTACAGCCACCTGTCAGGTGAGTTACAGCCACCTGTCAGGTGAGTTACACCTACAGCCACCTGTCAGGTGAGTTACAGCCACCTGTCAGGTGAGTTACAGCCACCTGTCAGGTGAGTTACAGCCACCTGTCAGGTGAGTTACACCTACAGCCACCTGTCAGGTGAGTTACACCTACAGCCACCTGTCAGGTGAGTTACAGCCACCTGTCAGGTGAGTTACAGCCACCTGTCAGGTGAGTTACACCTACAGCCACCTGTCAGGTGAGTTACACCTGTCAGGTGAGTTACACCTACAGCCACCTGTCAGGTGAGTTACACCTACAGCCTTATGTCAGGTGAGTTACAGCCACCTGTCAGATGAGTTACACCTGTCAGGTGAGTTACACCTACAGCCACCTGTCAGGTGAGTTACAGCCACCTGTCAGGTGAGTTACAGCCACCTGTCAGGTGAGTTACACCTACAGCCACGTGTCAGGTGAGTTACAGCCACCTGTCAGGTGAGTTACACCTACAGCCACCTGTCAGGTGAGTTACAGCCACCCGTTAGGTGAGTTACATCTACAGCCACCTGTCAGGTGAGTTACACCTACAGCCACCTGTCAGGTGAGTTACACCTACAGCCTCATGTCAGGTGAGTTACACCTACAGCCACCTGTCAGGTGAGTTACACCTGTCAGGTGAGTTACATCTACAGCCACCTGTCAGGTGAGTTACACCTGTCAGGTGAGTTACACCTACAGCCACCTGTCAGGTGAGTTACACCTGTCAGGTGAGTTACATCTACAGCCACCTGTCAGGTGAGTTACACCTGTCAGGTGAGTTACATCTACAGCCACCTGTCAGGTGAGTTACACCTGTCAGGTGAGTTACACCTACAGCCACCTGTCAGGTGAGTTACACCTGTCAGGTGAGTTACATCTACAGCCACCTGTCAGGTGAGTTACACCTACAGCCTTATGTCAGGTGAGTTACAGCCACCTGTCAGATGAGTTACACCTGTCAGGTGAGTTACACCTACAACCACCTGTCAGGTGAGTTACACCTCCACCCACCTGTAATACAAGTTACACCTCTACCCACCTGTAAGTTACACCTCCACCCACCTGTAATGTAATTTACACCGCCACCCACCTGTAATGTACCTTACACCTCCACCCACCTGCGTTACACCTCCACCTACCTGTAATGAACCTTACACCTCCACCCACCTGTAATGTAAGTTACACCTCTACCCACCTATAATACAAATTACACCACCACCTACCTGTAATGTACCTTACACCCCCACCCACCTGCTTGACCCCCCCCTACGACTGGTGACGAGTGCCACATTGTCCCCAGCTTGGCCAGTCATCCGTGACCAGTGCCACCCTGGATGTGCTGGACCGACGTGAGCACCTGGCCCGCAGCCCCACCCACCTGCTTGACCCCCCCCCCCCCCCCTTACGACTGGTGACGAGTACCACACTGTCCCCAGCTGGGCCAGTCATCTGTGACCAGTGCCACCCTGGATGTGCTTGACCGACGTGAGCACCTGGCCCACACCCCCACCCACCTGCTTGACCCCCCCCCATGTTGTCCCCAGCTGGGTCAGTCATCCGTGACCAGTGCCACCCTGGATGTGCTGGACCGACGTGAGCACCTGGCCCACACCCCCACCCACCTGCTTGACCCCCCCATGTTGTCCCCAGCTTGGCCAGTCATCCGTGACCAGTGCCACCCTGGATGTGCTTGACCGACGTGAGCACCTGGCCCACACCCCCACCCACCTGCTTGACCCCCCCCCATGTTGTCCCCAGCTGGGTCAGTCATCCGTGACCAGTGCCACCCTGGATGTGCTGGATCGACGTGAGCACCTGGCCCACACCCCCACCCACCTGCTTGACCCCCCCATGTTGTCCCCAGCTTGGCCAGTCATCCGTGACCAGTGCCACCCTGGATGTGCTGGACCGACGTGAGCACCTGGCCCACACCCCCACCCACCTGCTTGACCCCCCCATGTTGTCCCCAGCTGGGTCAGTCCTCTGTGACCAGTGCCACCCTGGATGTGCTGGACCGACGTGAGCACCTGGCCCCCACCCCCACCCACCTGCTTGACCCCCCCCCCCCCCCCCCTTACGACTGGTGATTAGTGCCATGTTGTCCCCAGCTTGGCCAGTCATCCGTGACCAGTGCCACCCTGGATGTGCTGGACCGACGTGAGCACCTGGCCCACAGCCACATCAACCTGCGGGAGCCCAGGCTAGACATCAAGCTGCCGGACCCCGAGCTGTCCCCCGTCATACTGGAGGACTTCACCAGACCCCCGGAGTCAGTCCTAGAGGACCCGCCCATGTATCTATCACCGTGTACGTCACAAGGCTTAACGCCTTTGTTAATTTGTAGAAACTGATATGTAAACTGGTTTAGACAATGCTTTTTTAATTGCAAACACAATTACCTAAACCCAATTAAAGCTCACTTCATTAATCAAATAATGCCTGAATATATTTTTAATTTTACCCTACTATTGTATCTAGATTTCTCAAAATAAGAATCCTGCTCCATTAAGAAGATTAGACTCTCCACCCCCCCCCCCCCCTCCCTTACACACACTATTCCCTTATTCTCTTGTAGAAAATGTAGTGGCTTACGTTTAATAATTAATCGTAATATAGGATTTGCCATTGTTACAATTTTCCTACAACATATTATGTGATTGTTTAGCGTAATACAATTTCTAATTTAGTTTCTTTACGCATTTCGAAAATATAGGCCATTATACATATGATTTGAAATGTGTGTTTATAAGTCTTCCAAATTGCTCAATATCTTTTGCAAAAAATTTTAGTGTGCTTTTAAATTTAAGAACTTATATTTTATCACATCATTTTCATAACAAAATTTAATGATGAGTTTTAGATTTAAGCATATATCGTTTTTTATTTAGAATGTATAACATAGTTTCTATTCGTTTCATTGGTTATATCATTTAGATTTAGCAAATCGCAGACTCAGACATACCTATATATATAATTCTCTTCTTGGATACCCTAGAAAACACCAAGCTGTAAGCGCGCCTAGCAGCACCCTCTCTTCCTCTCTAAGCATTTCCCTACCACCCCCCACCCCCACATGGTCTGGTGAGCTGTGGTTCACGCTAAATGTTTACAATCGTAGAGCCGGGTTTAGTGACGACTATTAGGGGCAGATTATTTAGTTTGAAACAATTTTAAACTTAGGGGAGGTAACTAAGAGGAGGCTGCTTTCACCGGGGGGGGGGTAGTGTAGGGCTTGGGGGAAGGAGTTGGGGGGGGGGGGGGGGGTTATCGTCCTTAACGAGCTACTGATAGTGTTTTAAAGCAACTATTTTCAGCAGTGTTTCTTCTAGACTTTTTTCTCCGGGGGGGGGGGGGCACTTGAAAGTTTCGGGGGGGGGGGGGGGCGGTAGACTTTCTTCGGGGGGCGGACACTGTTAAAAGTATATATTTTCTATATAAATTATATAAATTTCATTTCGTTCGGGGGGGCGGTAAAAATTTTTCGGGGGGGCAAAGCCCCCCCCCCCCCTCCGAAGAGATGCCTGGAAGAAACTCTTATTTTCAGTGGCAGCATTGGTACTGTCGAATTCACAAATTATGAATTACTGAAAAGTAGAAAATAAAACAACTAAATAGCGGCGTATGATACGCTGCGGGAGTATATTTTCCTGTACAGCTGTTATCGTGCTGTAAACCATCTGTTTGTCCTTCCTGTACAGCTGTTATCGTGCTGTAAACCATCTGTTTGTCCTTCCTGTACAGCTGTTATCGTGCTGTAAACCATCTGTTTTTCCTTCCTGTACAGCTGTTATCGTGCTGTAAGCCATCTGTTTGTCCTTCCTGTACAGCTGTTATCGTGCTGTAAACCATCTGTTTGTCCTTCCTGTACAGCTGTTATCGTGCTGTAAACCATCTGTTTGTCCTTCCTGTACAGCTGTTATCGTGCTGTAAACCATCTGTTTGTCATTCCGTGTACAGCTGTTATCGTGCTGTAAACCATCTGTTTGTACAGCCGAGTTTTTCAAGCGGATCTCTTGTGACAAGTGGGAAGGGAAGTCTTCCTACAGGGTCATAGGCGGCGAGCTGCTGCTGCTGCTGATACAGGCCCTGCATGAGATGGAGAGCACCTTCCTGATCAACGCCCATGTCCTGCACGCCAACCTCAACAACAGACAGAAGGAAGGGGCGAAGGTAGGGCGGGGCTGGTCTGGTGGTGGTCGTGCCTGACTTGGTGTCTCGTTGTTGTGGTCTCACAGTTGTGGTCTTACAGTTGTGGTCTAACAAATGTGGTCTTACAGTTGTGGTCTTACAGATGTGGTCATACAGATGTGGTCTTACAGATGTGGTCTTACAGATGTCTTACAGTTGTGGTCTTACAGATGTGGTCTTACAGATGTGGTCTTACAGATGTCTTACAGATGTGGTCTTACAGATGTGGTCTTACAGTTGTGGTCTTACAGATGTGGTCTTACAGATGGGGTCTTACAGATGTCTTACAGATGTGGTCTTACAGATGTGCTCTTACAGATGTGCTCTTACAGATGTGGTCTTACAGATGTGGTCTTACAGATGGGGTCTTACAGATGTCTTACAGATGTGGTCTTACAGATGTGGTCTTACAGTTGTGGTCTTACAGATATCTTACAGATGTGGTCTTACAGATGTGGTCTTACAGATGTGGTCTTACAGATGTGGTCTTACAGATGTGGTCTTACAGATGTGCTCTTACAGATGTGGTCTTACAGATGTGGTCTTACAGATGTGGTCTTACAGTTGTGGTCTAACAAATGTGGTCTTACAGTTGTGGTCTTACAGATGTGGTCATACAGATGTGGTCTTACAGATGTGGTCTTACAGATGTCTTACAGTTGTGGTCTTACAGATGTGGTCTTACAGATGTGGTCTTACAGATGTCTTACAGATGTGGTCTTACAGATGTGGTCTTACAGTTGTGGTCTTACAGATGTGGTCTTACAGATGGGGTCTTACAGATGTCTTACAGATGTGGTCTTACAGATGTGCTCTTACAGATGTGCTCTTACAGATGTGGTCTTACAGATGTGGTCTTACAGATGGGGTCTTACAGATGTGGTCTTACAGATGTGGTCTTACAGATGTGGTCTTACAGATGTGGTCTTACAGTTGTGGTCTTACAGATATCTTACAGATGTGGTCTTACAGATGTGGTCTTACAGATGTGGTCTTACAGATGTGGTCTTACAGATGTGGTCTTACAGATGTGCTCTTACAGATGTGGTCTTACAGATGTGGTCTTACAGATGTGGTCTTACAGATGTGGTCTTACAGATGTCTTACAGATGTGGTCTTACAGATGTGGTCTTACAGATGTGGTCTTACAGATGTCTTACAGATGTCTTACAGTTGTGGTCTTACAGATAGCTTACAGATGTGGTCTTACAGATGTGGTCTTACAGATGTGGTCTCACAGATGTGGTCTTACAGATGTGGTCTTACAGATGTGGTCCCTTACACTTAAAATGCTAAAACTATCGAATCCTGTGAACTCACTCGTCCAAGATTTAATTTCACTTGTTCTGCTAGCATGCTCGTCTTAACAGTGACGTCACGGTGTCATGTGTCACCCGGTGTGGTGTCACTCAGTGTGTCACTCCACCCTCCGTCCCACAATTTTGTATTTTTAGTTTGGTGACTAAACCATTGTTTTGACTGTACACGCCTTGTGCCACCACTGGGTCTTAGTCTGAACTTTAACAATTTGTCGACTCATCAGCTTAAATTTAGCTCAATAATCTGGGTCTAGTTGGACATGGCCACACATGGCCCCACATGGTTCAACTGAGGGGGAAAAACTGAGTAAAGTTGTGTCTGATAGCCACTGTTTGTTGTGGGGCTGCGTCTAGTTCCCCACCCCAGGGGTGGCTGTTGTGTGAGTTGTTAACAAAGTGCCTACGTCCCCAGGGGTGGCGCTACGAGAAGATAGTGGTGCGGATTGTGTTCTACGACAAGGCAGACAGCTCCAATATTCCACTCCAGATTCTGGAAGAAACCGAACCCTACGCGACCCCTAGAGTGACCCCAGTACGTAGAGAGATCTCCCAGATCCCGTATGCTCACACCCAGCACTGCGTCAATCACGTGCGACTTGTGGACGGGGAGGGGCAAAGCAACAAGCAAGAACTGACTAAGCAGGAGCTCCAGCGTTCCATCATGCGCAGACTAAATGTTCCGGCGGAAGTGCCCAAGCCGGTGAACGAGAAGCCGCCAGCCAAAGAGAAAGACAACCCGAGGTTTAGCGACCCATCCAAGAAAGCGGCGCCAGTCGAGGTGTACACTGAGACCGTGGACTTGATCGCTGAGTCCCCCACTCTGGTTTCAACGGACACCAAATCCAAGCCCGCCAAAAGTGAGGATAAAGTCGTCAAATCCACAATCGACCAGGAACTGCCGGGGCACCTGGCTCTTTTTACCAGCGACCCTACCACTCTCCTCCCCTCCACAACCATCATGCCAGGAATCGAAGAAGCTGAGAACGAGCTCAACATACCGTCGACTTCGACCGATTCCTTCAGTGTGGTGGTGACCGCCGACTTTCAGAGCTCCGAGGCGAACCTCCCTGTGTACAAGACGCTGAACCTGACGAGAAACGAGTTGTACGTCACAGGTCTGTATGAACCACGTGACGAGAACAGAATCTCAACCAAGGAGAAACTGCAGTGCAGGAAAAAACGACGTTCAAAAATGTATGATGATATTTTAGATAATTTAAAATCTAAATCAGGAATTGATTTGAGCTGCAGTTTTAAAAGTCTGGCCGTGAAGAAAGAAATGATCCGAAGAAAATCGATGGCGCCGCGGGTCCCGAGCCGAGTCCAGAAAACTGAGTCGTTGCCTCGGGGGTCCGCCAGGGAGAGCACGTGGGACCCGTACCTGAGGGACAGGCACAACTGTGAGATGGAAATCGCCCTGAAGAATCCTCTAGAGGAAGGGATCCAAGAGAGGCTCAGGTTGCTGGTTCTGATGCCAAAAGTAGAGGAGCCGAAACAGGAGGTGAAGGGGGCCAAGCCGGGAAAACCCAACCGAAGTCAAAACGCTTTTACCTCAGAGAATAACAACACAAACCAGAGAAAGCGGAATCAAAATGTGAGCAGTTGCCAGGAAATGACGATGGAGAGTCTGGACACCCACCCGTACGGCTTGATGTACACCAACATGAGGAGAGTCAGAAACCTGCCCAGCTACTCCGTGCTCAACAAGTCCATGAACAGCCGCGCGTCTGACGCAGACGATGAAGACGATAGCTACTCCCAGCTGCTGGACCTCTTGACCACGTGGCGCCAAAACGTCGACACCGGCGTCCGTCTGCGCAGCCGACAGTTATCTGATTTCTCCGTGGCACGTCTACAGAACCAGTACTACCTGACTAACTCACGGCGCGACCCGGCCGATGAGAAGAGAATCATTGATAGAATGATCAGAGAGACTAGGAACCAGCGTCACATGCAACAGCACACAGGGGACACGGCGAACACCAGTGGTCACCCAGGGGACACGGCAAACACCAGTGGTCACCCAGGATCGGTCAACAGCTTCCCAAAGCCCTTCACGGCAGAGGCTTTGTCCAAGCTAACGAACAAGACCAGTGGTGCCAAGCCAAAACTTGATCTGCCCCAGAAAACCAAGTGTGTCAAACATCAAAGGACCGATTCCGTCAAAGATGTGTCTGACACAACGTTTAACTCCAGCTACCCGATGCTGGACGACACAGCCAACAAAAATTTGCTGGATGATAAGGCCAACAAAAACTTGCTGGACGAAACGTCCAACAAAAACATGCTGGACGACACGGCCAACAGAACCAGCAACGCGAGTAAGACAGAGTTCGACGTGTCCTCCTACTCCACGAGTACCACCGCGGCAGGGGCCTCCGTCAGTACACGGGAATCCCCCCAAATCCGCGACATCAAACCCACCGTGTCCAGGAAAGCGTCCACACCTAAAGGTGATCGGTTGACCACCCCCGCCCCTATCACGCCCAGGCCGACGGTGTCGGAACAGCTGGAGGACTACCTGTACGACTGCGACTGCGCAGAGTGTGTCCTACAGGACCCCCTGCTCACCCATCTCCGGCCGCCGCCCACCCAGAGGGTCGAGGGGTATCCGCTGTTCCTGGGTCGGCTGAGGCGGGACTTCAAGTGCCTGAAGCACAGGCCCCCCGCCGCCCCCAAGCTCATGTGGTGTGACGTCGGCCCGTACTTTAGCAGGATGACGTCACAGAACGTCCAACAGCAGCTGCTCAGGCTCATGTGTGACGTCATGATAAAAAAAGAGATCATCAGCTCCAGCCTGGGACACTCGTATGTCACCGTGACCTTCACCAAACCGGAAGTGGCCAAACGTATGACGGATTTTAGTGAGTTTGTTTAATCACAACTTCCGGCTCATCGTGCGCTTCCATTGGTTCCTTTGGGCAGTAAAATATCACACGCTAATCGCGAGTTTTGTTGTTTCTTGAATCATTATTTTTCCATTTATTTAATTAAGCGATCTAATGTGGCAGTAAAATAAAATGTCTGTATTCAGCAGGTACAAAGTGGCAGTCTAGAATAGTACTGTGCTTCTAGAATGTACTAGAATAGTACTGTATTACTAGAATGTACTAGAATAGTACTGTGCTTCTAGAATGTACTAGAATAGTACTGTATTACTAGAATGTACTAGAATAGTACTTTGCTTCTAGAATGTACTAGAAGAGTACTGTATGACTAGAATGTACTAGAATAGTACTGTGCTTCTAGAATGTACTAGAATAGTACTGTGTTTCTAGAATGTACTAGAAGAGTACTGTGTTTCTAGAATGTACTAGAATATTACTGTGTTTCTAGAATGTACTAGAATAGTAATGTGTTTCTAGAATGTACTAGAATAGTACTGTATTACTAGAATGTACTAGAATAGTACTGTGCTTCTAGAATGTACTAGAATAGTACTGTATTACTAGAATGTACTAGAATAGTACTGTGCTTCTAGAATGTAATAGAATAGTACTGTATTACTAGAATGTACTAGAATAGTACTGTGTTTCTAGAATGTACTAGAAGAGTACTGTATGACTAGAATGTACTAGAATAGTACTGTGCTTCTAGAATGTACTAGAATAGTACTGTGTTTCTAGAATGTACTAGAATAGTACTGTGTTTCTAGAATGTACTAGAATAGTACTGTGCTTCTAGAATGTACTAGAATAGTTATGTGTTTTCTCGAATGTACTAAAATAGTACTGTGTTTCTAGAATGTACTAGAATAGTAGTGTGTTTCTAGAATGTACTAGAATAGTACTTTTTTTCTAGAATGTACTAGAACGCTTGTTGGATGGTTCGTGCCTCAATCGGTACAGATAATCAGATGAACGGGCCAGACAATGTGAAGTGCTGGTACCAGAAATGGAGCCAAATGATGGTGTTAGTGACGGTGTCATTGATGGTGTCATTGATTGTGTTAGTGACGGTGTTATTGATGGTGTCATAGATTTTGCTAGTGATGATGTCAATGATGGTGTTAGTGTTTCACTGATTGTGTCACTGATTGTGTCACTGATTGTGTCACTGATTGTGTCACTGATAGTGTCATTGAAGGTGTCAGTGATGTAGGATGGCTCAGCTCATGTCCATGTGTCAGTGACGATGTCTTTTGACGCTGTCTGTCATGTTGTCTGTGATACAATGAGTTTCAGGCTATATTTGAATCATGTGACATCAGAATTAAAATGACGTGGACACCAGCCACCCCCCCCCCCCCGGTGAGATGTAGATGTTTCCCACATTCCCACGCTCCAGGTAAACACACACATTCCCACGCTGTGTGGGACGAGAAACACAACAACGAAATATCAGCTATTTTTAGCACTTCAACCGGAAGCTCCTCTCTACTGCTGTATGGAATCAATAAGTGACGTAGTTCCGTTCCTCCTATGGCAATCCTGTTCATCCATTTATATCTAGGTTTTTAAATGACAAGCGTTAATTTTAAAATCTTTTTACTATACGGCTTTCGCTCTTGAATTAATGTAATAAAAATATTCTCTAGGGAATTCACATTGCAAGTATTTCAGTAGTTATGATACACTTTAAAAAGACCAAGTCCGGTAACTCCGCCGTCTCACAAAACGCTCACAAGATGAATATAGACGCCGGACAGAAATAGAAAACTTTGATCAACTCCCAGCAGCAGATTGTTGTTCTAGAGGCCCACATTGGTGGCCCACACTAGAGGCCCACACTAGAGGCCCACTGTGGAGGCCCTCTGTGGAGGGCCACTGTGGAGGCCCACTCTTTCTCTCAACAGTCTAGATTAGATGTAGAAACTGCCTGTATAAAAACAACTGTCCAGCGACAATGTTGCACCAGCATTGCCAAATAAATAAATGAAAGGCTTTTTTTAAAATTTTTCTTTGGAAAAACAAATAACAGTTTAATAAACAATCAAATATTGTCTATAATATTTAGACAGTTTTAATAGGAAATTTTAAACTAACAATGAAAGTGAAATTTGCGATATTATTTTTAAAAAACTCAACTTTCTTTAGATGTAAACTATTCACAAAAATGTCTTTAATTAGTTCACATTTTGACACCTCTTGTAAAAACTTCACAAAACCAGTTGTTAAGTGGAATAAAAATACTAGGGCGATTTCATTTACTTACATGGAATGAACAATCCTGAAATGTAATCACAGTTCTTCGTCATGGCAAATTATCCCTCTACCCCACCCCCTTTTCCACCCCCAACCCTCCTCCCCAATGATAGGGTTGATGTTAGTGCAAGCAACACACTACGCAATGTTTTGAGCACTTGGTTCTCATGTGGTTACCGGCTATTGACTCGAGTTCAGCCTTCTTTTCTTTCTGAATTTGCTTCCATAACATGTGCCCATCCAAGAACAAACTACAAGGTATGGTGGTTTGATTTTCTCGCCTAGGTGGGTTGCTGGACCCCAGCTATCAAGCCGCATCTGCCCTGGGGTTAGAATTTGGGACCTTTATCATCCACGATCTTAACCGATTCGACCACGCCAACCCCTTACCCACGGGCGATAGAAGGGGAAGTAATACAACAACACGGAGGTAAACACAACTCATCAACTCCGCCGCAGAGGGTCTAAACTATTTCTAACAACAATAGGCCTGTGAGTGATACGTGGCCCCAATCTTCTCAAGACTTTTCATTGAACTGCTAACAAAAAAACAAAAAAAGTTGTATACTTGTGTCAGATAATGTTTTCTTATTATTTCTGTTTCCTAGCTCTATGGCTTCATGGCCCCATAGCTCCCCATCTCCGTTGCTTCTTAGTTCTCTTGATCCATGGCTTTATTCATAGTTTCCTTCAACTTACGAGTGTTGTCTTACTTTATCTTACGAGTGTTGTCTTACTTTACCTTACGAGTGTTGTCTTACTTTATCTAACAACTGTGAGTTGACACACTGCAAGTCAGTCAAGTGGAGCTAAGTGGATGCCACCTTCTTTAACAAACAAACCAACAAACAAACAAACAACCACACTGTAAGCAATTTCGGTGTGCCACACACCATACACACCCTATGACATGTGTGTTTTACTCACATACAAAGAAAACTGTTCTACATGTTTATTACACATGGAGAAATCAACACAATGTTCGTGATACAGAGAGAACACGGCAAGGACACAGCGAGGACACGGCGAGGACATAGGGAGGACACGGGGAGGACACGGGGAGGACACGGGGAGGACACGGGGAGGACACGGGGAGGACACGGGGAGGACACGGGGAGGACACGGGGAGGACACGGGGAGGACACGGGGAGGACACGGGGAGGACACGGGGAGGACACGGGGAGGACACGGGGAGGACACGGGGAGGACACGGGGAGGACACGGGGAGGACACGGGGAGGACACGGGGAGGACACGGGGAGGACACGGGGAGGACACGGGGAGGACACGGGGAGGACACGGGGAGGACACGGGGGAGGACACGGGGAGGACACGGGGAGGACACGGGGAGGACACGGGGAGGACACGGGGAGGACACGGGGAGGACACGGGGGAGGACAGGGGGAGGACAGGGGGAGGACAGGGGAGGACACGGGGAGGACACGGGGAGGACACGGGGAGGACACGGGGAGGACACGGGGAGGACTGACGCCATCTGTCACACTGACGCCATCTGTCACACCGACGTCATGCCACACTGAGTTTTGCCACACTGCGCAGATAACATAATCTTATGATGTCTGACTTAATTCCAAGCCAGGTATTTCATCTTGTACATTTCACCAACACTTGTTCTTTAAGTACTTTAGTTTGACTGTAGCTGATATGTTGCTAGGGCGCACATCGTAAGCTGTGACATACACTAAGTCAACTGGGTGATACACTAAGTCAACTGCGTGGTAATCTAAGTCAACTGGGTGATACACTAAGTCAACTGCGTGGTAATCTAAGTCAACTGGGTGATACACTAAGTCAACTGCGTGGTAATCTAAGTCAACTGGGTGATACACTAAGTCAACCGGGTGATACACTTAGTCAGCTGGGTGGTATGTTCGTGGCTTACGTCCATCATGAATGGCCTTTGTCCCATGCGAGAAGTTTTCCACCAGTGACTCACCATAAGCCACCGTGAACTCAGTTTTGTACAGCGAGAGCTATCTATTTTTAGAATTAGCGCTAAGTTTAGCCTCTTCACTGGCTAGTCTTTTAGAATTAGCGCTAAGTTTAGCCTCTTCACTGGCTAGTCAGTCAAGATGCTAATCTGGCTAAATGGTAGGCCATCGCCGACATCAAGCAGACGATCAGGTCCAAGATAGCAGACGGCTGGCTAGCATTGAGTTGCTGGTCAGAAGCGTGACAGTTTGGGACCTCTGGGAGGTTCGCGTCACACTTGGGGGCGGAACTCTGGAAACACAGACCCTGATAGTTGATCTCTCTGATGGGCCGGTCAAACTTGTAGGTCTCGTTAGAGTAGCAGAACACGGAGTCCGAGGCTGAGTTGGGGTGGTCGTGGACGTACTTGATCAGGTCAACGTTGGAGCAGTCGCAGGTGATGTTGGTGTTGGTCATGATGAAGCTGTCGTGCGACCCGGGGGTGGCCAGACGTAGCTCCATCACAGCCAGACACGACATTTTGTGAATGCGGATCATGTCCAGCGAGACCCTGTTCAGTTTTGAGCTGTTCATGAACGCGCCTGTGCTGATGTTGTGGAGGGTCAGTCTGTAGAGGCTGAGGAAATCAATGTCGTGGAGGGAGTAGAACGAGGCGGGGGCGAGGGAGGAAATGTCCATGTCGTAGAAACTGAGGTTCCCGCCTTGCACTGACGAGAAAGCGTAGGACTCGATGTTGGTGATCTCTGATTGGCTGAGCTCAAAACTTCGGAGGTTATGTAAGTTGGAAAAGGCTCCGGAATGGATGACGTCTATTTTTGTTTTGGTTATGGTGACGGAAGCTGCGCTGAATATATTTTGGAAAGCGCACGACTTGATGTTGTGAATTCTCACCTCAGATATGTGAATCGTTTTCAATTTTTTAGAACCGCTGAAAGCCGAGGATGAAATTTCTTTAATCTCGCATTTAATCAGGCGGACATTTTCCGTGTTGGCGCCAAGAATGTCCGGGCCCAGGGAGGACAAATACATGTCGGAGATGGTAACGTTGATGATGCCGTCCGGCAGGGGTCCGGACAGATTAGTGTTGCCATGGCTACACTCGGCAGCAGCGGCAGACGGCCGGACAAGATGGGCGGGTGGGTGACGGTCTAGTGGTGGCAGCCACTTGGCCTGGTGTTATCTGGGGGGAGACAAGAGGGGACATTAAATTGTGACAACAGCGACATTAAATTGTGCAGTGGACAAGAGCGGACATTAAATTGTGCAGTGGACAAGAGCGGACATTAAATTGTGCAGTGGACAAGAGCGGACATTAAATTGTGCAGTGGACAACAGCGACATTAAATTGTGCAGTGGACAAGAGCGGACATTAAATTGTGCAGTGGACAACAGCGACATTAAATTGTGCAGTGGACAAGAGCGGACATTAAATTGTGCAGTGGACAACAGCGACATTAAATTGTGCAGTGGACAAGAGCGGACATTAAATTGTGCAGTGGACAAGAGCGGACATTAAATTGTGCAGTGGACAAGAGCGGACATTAAATTGTGCAGTGGACAAGAGCGGACATTAAATTGTGCAGTGGACAAGAGCGGACATTAAATTGTGCAGTGGACAAGAGCGACATTAAATTGTGCAGTGGACAACAGCGACATTAAATTGTGCAGTGGACAAGAGCGGACATTAAATTGTGCAGTGGACAAGAGCGGACATTAAATTGTGCAGTGGACAAGAGCGGACATTAAATTGTGCAGTGGACAAGAGCGACATTAAATTGTGCAGTGGACAACAGCGACATTAAATTGTGCAGTGGACAACAGCGACATTAAATTGTGCAGTGGACAAGAGCGGACATTAAATTGTGCAGGAGACAACAGCGACATTAAATTGTGCAGGAGACAACAGCGACATTAAATTGTGCAGTGGACAACAGCGACATTAAATTGTGCAGTGGACAAGAGCGGACATTAAATTGTGCAGGAGACAACAGCGACATTAAATTGTGCAGTGGACAACAGCGACATTAAATTGTGCAGGAGACAACAGCGACATTAAATTGTGCAGTGGACAACAGCGACATTAAATTGTGCAGGAGACAACAGCGACATTAAATTGTGCAGTGGACAAGAGCGGACATTAAATTGTGCAGTGGACAAGAGCGGACATTAAATTGTGCAGTGGACAACAGCGACATTAAATTGTGCAGTGGACAAGAGCGGACATTAAATTGTGCAGTGGACAAGAGCGGACATTAAATTGTGCAGTGGACAACAGCGACATTAAATTGTGCAGTGGACAAGAGCGGACATTAAATTGTGCAGTGGACAAGAGCGACATTAAATTGTGCAGTGGACAAGAGCGGACATTAAATTGTGCAGTGGACAACAGCGACATTAAATTGTGCAGGAGACAACAGCGACATTAAATTGTGCAGTGGACAACAGCGACATTAAATTGTGCAGTGGACAAGAGCGACATTAAATTGTGCAGTGGACAAGAGCGGACATTAAATTGTGCAGTGGACAAGAGCGGACATTAAATTGTGCAGTGGACAAGAGCGACATTAAATTGTGCAGGAGACAACAGCGACATTAAATTGTGCAGTGGACAAGAGCGGACATTAAATTGTGCAGTGGACAAGAGCGGACATTAAATTGTGCAGGAGACAACAGCGACATTAAATTGTGCAGGAGACAACAGCGACATTAAATTGTGCAGTGGACAAGAGCGGACATTAAATTGTGCAGTGGACAACAGCGACATTAAATTGTGCAGTGGACAACAGCGACATTAAATTGTGCAGTGGACAAGAGCGGACATTAAATTGTGCAGTGGACAAGAGCGACATTAAATTGTGCAGGAGACAACAGCGACATTAAATTGTGCAGTGGACAAGAGCGGACATTAAATTGTGCAGTGGACAAGAGCGACATTAAATTGTGCAGGAGACAACAGCGACATTAAATTGTGCAGTGGACAACAGCGACATTAAATTGTGCAGTGGACAAGAGCGGACATTAAATTGTGCAGTGGACAAGAGCGGACATTAAATTGTGCAGTGGACAAGAGCGGACATTAAATTGTGCAGTGGACAAGAGCGGACATTAAATTGTGCAGTGGACAAGAGCGGACATTAAATTGTGCAGTGGACAAGAGCGACATTAAATTGTGCAGTGGACAAGAGCGACATTAAATTGTGCAGTGGACAACAGCGACATTAAATTGTGCAGTGGACAACAGCGACATTAAATTGTGCAGTGGACAACAGCGACATTAAATTGTGCAGTGGACGAGAGCGGACATTAAATTGTGCAGGAGACAACAGCGACATTAAATTGTGCAGTGGACAACAGCGACATTAAATTGTGCAGTGGACAAGAGCGACATTAAATTGTGCAGGAGACAACAGCGACATTAAATTGTGCAGTGGACAAGAGCGACATTAAATTGTGCAGGAGACAACAGCGACATTAAATTGTGCAGTGGACAAGAGCGGACATTAAATTGTGCAGTGGACAAGAGCGACATTAAATTGTGCAGTGGACAAGAGCGGACATTAAATTGTGCAGTGGACAAGAGCGGACATTAAATTGTGCAGTGGACAAGAGCGACATTAAATTGTGCAGTGGACAAGAGCGACATTAAATTGTGCAGTGGACAACAGCGACATTAAATTGTGCAGTGGACAACAGCGACATTAAATTGTGCAGTGGACGAGAGCGGACATTAAATTGTGCAGGAGACAACAGCGACATTAAATTGTGCAGTGGACAACAGCGACATTAAATTGTGCAGTGGACGAGAGCGGACATTAAATTGTGCAGGAGACAACAGCGACATTAAATTGTGCAGGAGACATAGAGGACATTCAAGATCTCGGGTTTTTTTTGTTGAAATTGTTTTATGAGATACACTCAAATGCTGCATGTAATTAAATAATTAGGATAGTAAATGAATGTTAATGAGATAAAGCATGGTTCGTATGACGGATGCTTTCCTATGAGCATTGTAAAGCTAATTGTACCCAGTGGCGTAAATGATCAGTAGGGGGGGGGCCCATTGGAGGGGGGGGGGGAGAACACATTGTAAAAAATATAGAAGAAAAAAACAAAACACAAAACGCAAGACAAAACAGAACAATACTGATTGTAATGGAGCTCTTTGGGTACATCTTGAAGCTAAACGAGACTAGCTAAAGCTTCAGTTCAGAGCTAGGCGGCATCGGAATCAGCTCCGTGCATTCCAATAAGACACGTTTATAGGTGAATAGTAAACCACAACTCTTGTAATTGTTATACAGATTATTAATTACATTTCTTACATTAATAAGTAGCGTAAAGTACTACTTCAAGTCTACAGAATGACTCGAATTTGACAGAAGGCAGAGAAATAGATCTTTTACCTATAAATCTATGTGAAATTTCGTTTATCTATGTCAAGCAGTACTCAAATTATAGGCTTTTGAAAAACCGAAAATAAGTTTTATTTCCGGTTAACGATCTGTGAACAGACACACACACACATACACACACATACACACACAAACACAGACATGCGGTAAAATTGCAAAACTATGTTTTTCCGACTCAGGGAGGTGTAAAACGTCGAGATTTATGAAAATCTCAATTACGATTTTTTGCACAATTACAATACCTCCTCTATAGGCCCTACTTCGTATACCAGAAAGTAAAAATTGCATAGAAAACGTTTTAATAACAAAATAATGCACTAAGATGTAGAAAATAAAGGATTTTCTTTAAATATGTAATACTGCACTACTATTTAAATCAAAGAAAAGCGTGGGTTTCTTCCAAATATTAATAAAGGTATCCAATAGAAAATATAGTGACCTACGCTATTTATAGTATTCTAAATAGTATTGTAGTAAAATATATTTAAAGGAAATCATTTATTTTCTCCTTTTTACTGCACTATTATATAAAAGCTTGCTATTAAAACGGTTTTTATACAATTTTCTTTGTAATATTTACGTTTTTAAATTTTTTTTTTTTATTACTTTTATTTGCAATTAAAACAAGTACATCAACATCACATTTTTTTTTACATAGTTTCAAATGAAAAAGAAGGGTTTTGAACATGTACATAATGAATATTTGCGTGATGTCATGTATATGATTATAACAAAAATTACAAAAGATGGCAGTAAAAGGGGTGAAGGTCAAATAAACGTGTCAGAAGTCTGGGTGGGGAGTGGAAAGGGTATTTTTTTTGAGAATGACAAAGGGCCAGTGGAGCATTTTCAATGTAGGGAAGCAAATTAAGTTGACTGGTTAAAAGAGTGTTTATTTATGTACTGGTCGCATTGAGTTTTCAAAAGGTTGCTGTGTAAAAAATGAGGGGAAAGAAACAAGATTTAGAACTTTAAAAAGTAAATGAATAGATATTCGAAATTGATGTTGGGGTGGGTGGTGGGGTCGTTGGAACAGTTAAAGGGAAAGTGGTGTTTTCATGTCTGAGGGTAAGTGGATAGAGGGGGAGGGGGGAGTGGGTAGCTGTGTCTGACGAGGCGTGGAGAGGGTGACTGCGTGTTTTAAGGCAAGCCAAGCGTCAAATTTTGTGCTGTGTTATCTGACTGCTGATGTGTTACCATTTGTAGTGTGTGTGGGTGGGGGGGGGGGGAGGGTTTGACGAACAGATTGCTGTGTGAGCGAATTAGTGGGAGGGTGAAAGGTTGGTATGTTCAAGTCGGTGTTTGTGTTTAGATGGATGTTAAGTACCGACAGGTTAGGGGTGGGTAGGCGTGTAGCTATCACGTGTAGGGACACAGTGGAGTTTTATAGATCAAAAAAATTGGTGTTCACATAAAAGAGTTAGATTAGTAAAGTTAACGAAACAACTGTAAGTGTTAATTTGGTGATAATACAATGAATACAAAAGGAGTACGGGTCATTGGGGTCATTTGTACGTTGTGAACCACAGTACCTTACATATATGATAATAGTAATATAGTAACAAATGAAAGCTTTACAATGTTTGTAAGCTTTATAAATTAAACAATACACAAAAAGCAACAATAGGAAAATGAAATGCCAAATGATAAATGAAGCGACACAGAGTGGGGACATGGGGGTTGAGGGGTGGGAGTTACATTGATGTTGTTAGAAATGTATTTGGATAATACATCATTGTCACTGTTTAACATAGTACTTCATCACAGG